CTTCTCTCTTGAAAGAATTTAAACTTCCACTGGAAAGACACAATCAGAAAATCAAACAGAGTATGTCTTCTGTGTTGCCCTCACCTCTCTGTGGATGCCCCATGACATCAAGGTCAAGGCTCCTGACACACAGGGGTGAGAGGTCAGAGGGGCAAGGAGCAGGAGAGAAGCCAAGCTGAGAAACGCAGCACGTCAGGGGTCAAAGACCCACCATAGACAACAAAAAAGCTTGTTCTGAAAAGGAACAGAGTGAAGAACCACTGTTTCCAGTTTACTCTTTTATACATTGTTCTTATCTGCAAGTCATGTACTGAATACGGAATGTAAATATTTTTCAGCTGTCTAAAATGTAAGTAAAGAAAATTTCCAGATACCTCCAAAGTCACATGAGCTCCAAGGGAAAGATCTGGATGTTTTTCCAGACTAACCATGAGCAGTAGGGCCAATGAAATACCAAATGTACTTACTCTGAGGTAAACTCATTGGAAAATTTTCAAATTATGTGGGCTGAGAAGCTGCTCAAGTTCTTTTTTATTCAAATTAAAACCAAATTCTTGAAATAGTTCTGCCAGCATGCATCAAAAACTCTTAAGATTTTGTTTTGTTTTGTTTTGGGGTCACATCTGGTGGGGCTCAGGATTTATTCCTGGCTCTCTACTTAGGGATCACTCATGTCAATGCTCAGGAGACCATTCGGGTTGACTAGGATTGAACCCATGTCAACCATCTGCACACAGCACAGCGTCTTACTGCTCCAACCCCCAAACTGAGATATCTTATCCAATCATATCACAAAATGGTATGGGATCTTATCCCATCTTTGTGACACTTGGCTGATTTGCATCAGAAATTGAGCTAGCATTCACCCTGTTTCCATTACTGTCCAAAACGAACATTCGCTGTAGTAAAGCAGGAACGTGAACTAAAGTGGGAAAGTCCCACTAAGGAAGAGAAAGGGTGAGAATGCTGGAACAACGTCTCATGTTTCTCATTACAACTACCATCATTACCACAGAGAACAACAGAAGCCTCTTTACTAAAGGACTGTGACCAAGATCTTGCTAGGCACTTAACACAAACCAGATAATTATATTATCTAAATAGCTACTAAACAGTTCTCACATGCTTAAATCTTGTGAGCTAATGATTATTTTCACACTGAACAGAGCAAATCATTTTATTTGTAAGCTGGGGGATATTTTCATTGAATCCATGAGGACAGAACAGAAAACATTCTAGGCTTAAGCATGTCCATGTCTTGTTGGAGAAACAACTATATTTGGAAATTGCTATGAGAGATTTCAGCACACAGTAGGCTTACAGGCCTGGAGGGCATGCTCTTCATGCCACAGGTCCTGGTGCCAGCCACAGCAGTTGGCTGCACACTGTACTGGCCTGTGAGCACTGTCAGGTGTGGCTACAATTACTTTCAGTAAAAGAAAACACCTCAACACCTCAACACACAGAGACGTGCACACACACAGCCCCTATATGTAATGACAGGTGTTAATTCAATGTATTCTGGTGATAGCGTCATAAAATATACAAACAGAGATCCACCTGATTTGTTTTATGGCCACATCCAGTTGTTATTAGGGATTACTTCTGGCTCTGCACTCAGGAATCATTCCTGGCAGGCTCAGGGGAATTTAGGAGGTGTCAGGCATTGAACCCAGGTCAGGTGCACGCAAGGCAAGGGCCTTGCCCAATGTACTATCTCTCCAGCCCAACATGTAGTCCATTTGAAATTAAGGAAACACTCTACATTAATTATATCATAATGATAAAATACGAATTTTATTTTTTTAACATATCAGCAACAGCTGATATGGATCAAAGATTCCCACTGGGAAGCATGCAATTATAACTATGGACAGGAGCTCAGCAGGGAGGGTGTTTGGGCGGGTTCCCTGGGGAACAAGGGAACACGTACTATGTGTAATTCAGTCTGAGAGCTAAAGGAAAAAACAGGAGCTGCTTAGGGGAACAGGGAAAAAAAAGGCAAAGCAGGCAGAAGGTACCAATGATGCAAAGATGCCACGGGGAGACAGACTGAGGTGTATGAGAACTGAGAGGTCACAGTTAGATGGAGTGGGAGCAGATGGGGGCCTGCATCTGGCAATTCCATATTTATCAGGGAAACCTGTGACTTAAATGCCATACATTGTCTCTTACAGACAATGATAGAAAGGGTGCTGTCTTTATCCTAATCACATTAGGAATTTATTTCACTTCCTAACTGGGGTTGGTGCTTTTCCTTAGGGGTGGGGTGGCTGGGCCGTAATGGCATGCAAACAGCATCTTACACAGACTCTTCAGGGACAGGGATAAATATGAATACACCAGTGCATGGGCTAGAGCGATAGCACAGCGGGTAGGGTGTTTGCCTTCAAGCCGCCAACATGGCCAACCTGAGTTTGATTCCTCCGCCCTTGCCGGAGAGCCCAGCAAGCTACCGAGAGTCTCTCACCCACACGGCAAAGCCTGGCAAGCTATCTGTGACATATTCAATATGCCAAACACAGTAGCAATTGTCACAATGGAGATCTTACTGGGCCCACTCGAGCAAATCGATGAACAACGGGAGGACAGTGACAGTGACAGTGATGCCAGCGCATGAACTAGTATGTTCTTAACTAGATAGTATTCTACGCTTAAACATCCCCCTGACCCCACCCCAGAGTAGAGATTTAAGCTGGAAGAATGGCAAGTAGGACTGTCACAGAATTTACACTGAGGTAGAGCTAAAGTTATCATGGTGAGCGCGATTTAAAGGCAGGGGGAGGGAAGCACTTGCCTGAACCCGAAAGATGGATTGAAAAGTTGAACCTCATTTGTAGCTGAGCAATACAGGAGAACAGTGTTCTCTCCTGGCTCCAGTCCTGGGGCTCTGAAGAAACTGCCTTTCTGTGAAGTTTCCCCAGTTTGTAATAGCACCTCATTCTTACAGGATTCTTTTGAGAATGAAATAATTTTTAAAATGTGTAAAGTATTGGACAGAAGTTGTGGCTCAGAGGTAAAGTTCATGATTTGCATGAGTTAGACCATAGGTTTGGTCCCTCATAATTTAAAGAGGGAGGACAAGGGTGGAAGGGGAGAGAGAGAGAGAGAGAGAGAGAGAGAGAGAGAGAGACAGGGACAGAGCCAGAGAGAGAAATAAGGTTTAAAGAATGACAGCAACAGTTCAACAGGTTGAATGCATTATTTCACAAACAGGAGGCCCGGGTTTGATCTCCACTGCATGGCTACCTGAGTACGAAGGCAGGAATAGCCCATGAGCACTGGTTCAAAAGCCAAAAAGAAACTAAGAGTTATTTAGAACACTACCTGCACATAGTAAGATTGAGTAATATCACAGTAAACACTATCATCATCACTATAAAAGATCATGATTAGCTGTCAGTAGTTTTGGAATGCTTGTGTAAATATGTTATCTGAGACACATTTTCAAACTTCCTCGTACTTAAGGATCATCTGAAGAGTAGTGAAAAATGTCGATTCCTGGCTTGTCAGAGGCCAGGCCTAGGAAACTAGACTGTTTTCATAGCCCCTGGGGAGATTCTGATATGGCAGGTCCAAGCATCTTAATTTTGATGATACATGGTTTCAAGGCATAAATTCAAGGAGATAATGTATATCATCACAGGCACTTAACTATATGGATAAATTCCTTTGTTGTTTTATTTTTGTTTGGGTGCTACCCTTGGCGATGTTCAGGGGTTACTCCTGGCTCTGCACTTTAGAATCACTCCTGGTGGTGCTAGGGGAACAATGTGGGATGCCAGGGATCAAACTCAGTTCAGTTGTGTGCAACATTAAGTGCCTTATCTGCTATCCTCTCTCTAGCCTCATGGATAAATTGTTAACAAATTTCATATCTTTTGTTTTGTTCAAACAAAAGGACATAAGAGCAACTGGGAAATCTATTTTTAGGGGAAAAAGTGTTCCATTTTTAATAACCACTTCACAAAAATATTTTGTTCCAAATGGCCCCACATGGCTCTGTGTATTACAATATCAAAATAAATTTTCACTGAACAATGGTGTGTGTGTGTGCGTGTGTCTCCTGCAATTATTAAATTTTATTTTCTATCAAAAATAATAAACCCGATGTTCTATCATAGAGGAAGAAGAGTCTTTCCTGCTGAAAACTGGAACACTGCGTCTTCTCTCTTCACTTGAATTCAGGATCTCTCAACTTCAATACTAATAGGTTAATTTTTACAGGAATTACACTAACAATTGACCATCATCAGAGAAATCAACAAGTGGACCAACCTCAAACAAAGTGAAACACAGGCCTGATAAGCACATCTAGTGAGCAACATTCAGAGACCGCACACAGACAGCATTCCTTTCCTCTCAAATACTATTACATAAAACATGACTGGGGTTCTTTAGACCCAACAAGATTATGACAAGACAAACTGGACTCTTTATAGTAATAAGCTATGTAATCCCCATTTTATTTGCAAAAATAATGGGCACTCGTTGACTTTTTTAGCTTAACAAGTTTTAACAGAGGTCACTTACATAAAAAGGTAAAGGTAAAGGCCCTCCCATTGATCGTCGATTTGCTCGAGCGGGCCCAGTAACGTCTCCATTGGAGACTTTGTTGTTACTGTGTCTGGCATATCGAATACTCTCGGTAGCTTGCCGGGCTCTCCGAGAGGGGTGGAGAAATTGAACTCGGGTCAGCCATGTTGGCCACTTGTAAGGCAAACGCCCTACCGCTGTGCTATCGCTCCAGCCCATACTTACATACTAAATGCAAATATTCCAGAACTTAAATCTTCTACCCAACAAAGGATGGGGGGAGGGAAATAATTTAAAATTAGGCATAACAATCCACCTCCACTTTTCTTTATCTGACTTTTTCAAATGATTCCCCCCACACACAAATATTTTCATAAGACTCCAAGGTAACATCTGCACACATCTGTCAACAACACATTTCTGGAGGGAAAGCAAAACTTGAGGCTTTTTAACACTGTACTTACATGTGAGGGCTCAATTCATAAAAATTTCTATTCCTATAATCTTCCACTTTTTCTGGTGAGTAAATTGGCAATGACCGGTATGGGTTAACAGATATAACCACGCTTCCAATGTATGTCTGCAAACAAAAGAATAAAATAAACGCATTAGCACAATGATGTCTTCTAGCATCTTGAACCTCAGTGTAGAGGGTTTGTCTTTTTCAGAACATCTGCTCTCATACCTTACCATTCACTTTTCAAAACCATTTCACAGCTTGGAAGACATCACTGATCAAGACTGCTTATTCATTTTTGCTAAAAGCTGGAAACATAGTTCATTCATTAAAAATACCTTGCAAAATAGAGCTCTTGGTTAATTTATGATTCTTGAAGAAAGTTATCCTAATGTCTACCAATTTTGCCAGTTTCATCACCAGCCACATTAATTTTTGAGCATAGTCTATGTTCTCACTGATTCTGGTCAGAAATGGTGTTTCTTTCTCTCATCCTTAGCCTCCAATAGTAACCCTGTTTTTCCCTTCCTTCCTACTCACACCCACATCCATTGAAGAAGTTGACTTTGGTTCTACTGATCTCCCACAAATCTCTCCATTTCTGTGTTGGGCTCTGACTGAACTAATTCCATATCAAAACCACAATTTCCCTCTGTATATTTTTTTTCTTTTCTTTTTTGGGTCACACCCAGTGATGCTCAGGAGTTACTTCTGGCTCTGCACTCAGAAATTACTACTGGTGGTGCTCAGGGGACCATATGGGATGCTGGGATGCTAACCCAGGTCAGCCACGTGCAAGGCAAATTAATTCCCTTCCCACTGTGCTTTTGCTTCAGTCTCAACCCTCTGTATATTCAAACAACATAATTTGTATTATAACTAATGTGCTGGAATACTATTGTTTAAATGAATTTTTCAGAAGGTGGGCACACTTAATGTCAAATTTAAATGTAGCACTGTAGCACTGTCCTCCTGTTGTTTATTGATTTGCTCAAGCAGGCCCAGTAACGTCTCCATGGTGAGACTTGTTGTTACTGTGTTTGGCATATCAAATATGTCATGGGTAGCTTGCCAGGCTTTGCCATGTGGGCAAGATACTCTTGGTAGCTTGCCGGTCTCTCCGAGAGGGGTGAAGGAATTGAACCTGGCTTGGTAGTGCCAGCCGCACGCAAGGCAAACTCCCTACTGCTGTGCTATCGCTCCAGTCCCAAATTTAAATGAACATAGATTTTTTAAAATATGGACAATTCTCAACAAATTAAGAACTGAGCTTCCAAATGACCCATCAATTCCACTTTTGGGCATCTATCTACTCTAAAGGCTCAAAAACTTTATCAAGAAAAGACATTTGTACACCTATGTTCACTGGAGCATTGCAGCACTATTCCCAACAGCCAAAATCTTAAAATAGCCCAAGTGTCGCAAAGCAGTGCAGAGATGTGATCAAGGAAGACTTCAAAGAGAGAAGAGCAAAAGTGCTGGTAGATGCAGCAGAAGCCGGAAAAAGTATTCGTAATGCCCGCCTGTCCTTCGCCAACTACAAGACCAAGATGACTGCCCTCCGACGTCCTGATGGATCCATCACATCCTCCAGAACGGCAATGGAGAAGATTATCCATGATTTCTACACAAATTTCTTTGATAGCCATGTCCACTTGCTGACATACCAAATTCCACAGGATAGATATGTTGTTCCCAACATTCTCTCTTCCGAAATCTGACACGTCATTTCGTCAGTAAAGAAATGAACAGCACCCGGCCCAGACAAGGTCAGACCTGAACACCTGAAGAACCTGCCGTCAGTACTCATCAATACACTGGCTCGGCTCTTCACACGCTACCTGTCTGAATGCAAGGTTCCGTCCCAATGGAAAACCAGCAGGACCGTACTACTGTTCAAGAAGGGAGACATCCATGACATTGGCAACTATCGCCCGATCTGCTTATTGTCTGTCATCTACAAGTTGTTCACTCGAGTCATCCTAAATAGGATTGGCAGAACACTAGATGAAGGACAACCATGCGAGCAAGCTGGGTTCCGCAAAAGATTCAGCACCATCGACCATATCCACACGGTAACCAAGCTCATTGAGGTTTCTCGGGAGTTCAAGATGCCGCTCTGTTTAACGTTCATTGATTTAAAGAAGGCCTTTGATTCTGTTGAGACGGAAGTGGTCATTGAAGCCCTAGCCAATCAGGGCATTCAAGCTCAATACATCAAGATCCTCCGTGAGCTGTACTGCGGATTCACTACCAGGATCTCATTATTCTACAAAGAAGTAATCATCGATGTCAAGAGAGGGGTTCAGCAGAGTGATACCATTTCACCAAAACTCTTCAGTGCCACCCTCGAGAACATCATGCGATGACTGGAATGGGAAGAAATGGGAATGAAGATAGATGGTCGGCAACTACACCATCTCCACTTTGCTGATGATATTGTTTTAATAACACCAAACATCAGCCAAGCGGCACAAATACTAGCCGACTTGGACCGTGAATGTGGAAAGGTCGGACTACAGCTGAATCTTACGAAGACAATGTTTATGAGAAACAGCCTCGTTCCTGACGCCCCATTCGCTCTCAACGCAATGACCATCTCCGAATGCAACAGCTATGTGTACCTAGGTCGAGAAGTCAACATGACAAATGACCTGGCACCCGAGCTGCACAGGAGGAAGAGAGCGGCTTGGAACGCCTTCAAGAGTGTCGAAGAAATAGCTAAGAGGACGAAGAGCCTCCGGCTCCGGGCACATCTCTTTGATTCCACTGTTCTTCCTGCATTAACATATGCCTCAGAGACCTGGGCCCTACGCAAACAAGATGAGAACACTATTCAGGTCTCCCAAAGAAGAATAGAAAGAACTATGCTTGGAATATCACGTTTCACTCAAATGAGAGAAAGAATCCAGAGTTCTGACATCCATCTACGATCAAGAATCAGGGACGCTGTCTCATTTGCCAAGGTGTCAAAAATCAGATGGGCTGGTCATGTAATGAAATTTAAAGATGACCACTGGACTAGAGCTGTTACTGACTGGATTCCACGGGATGTCAAAAGACCTTGTGGCCGCCCACCTACCAGATGGTCAGACTTCTTCATCAAGATCATGAACGATCGGTTTGAGGCTCTTCATGTTCCTAGAGCGAACAGATGCCACTGGGCCACATTAGCACGCAACAGGGTCAAATGGAGACGTTACTGGCGCCCGCTCGAGCAAATTGATGATTAACGGGAAGTTAAGTGATAACTCAAGCGTCCAAGAACTGATGACTAGATGGAATACCACTCAGTTATAATTGCATGGACATGCAAAATCATGCAATTTATTGCTACATGGATAAAACTGGAGGGAATCGTACAGAATGAACTCTCTCCTATGTGGAATATGAAGTAGCATAGTAAGGGAATAACAGATGGCACAAGCAACAGAATGTGTTATGGTCTACAGAACTAAGCTCATAGTGGTGGGGAGAAATGGGAATGTGGGGGTGGGGGGACATTCAGACTCCTTGATTCAATGTTGGAGGGTAGCAGACACAAGCCTGGAGGGTATGTAGTTAAGATTCTGTATGCATGAAACCTAACATTAAGAGTTTTGTAAATCATGGTGACTAAAATAAAATTTTGAAATAGTTAAGATAAATAGAATGTAGAATTTAAATGTTCTTTCTGATGGATCAATATTGTACTTTAGCAGATGCTAGACCTTTTAAACCATAAACTAGAACTCTCTTTACTGTTTCTCATTTCTATCTTAAATTCCTGGCAGCCAAGTATAGGGGTAGTTCATTTTGTAAGACTAGGACAATACCACAAGCAAAAGCCATTCAATCTTACTGTAATTGTGATCTAATTGAAACAGTAATTCAATCTTAATGTCTCAATTTTTCCTTTCAGTTTCAACTTCAGAAAGAGGAGGAAAGGGTAATAACAAAAACAATACAGACCTAGATGGCACTGTTCTCCTTGCACTAGCATATGCCTCAAGGACCTGGGCCCTACGAAAACAAGATGAGAATGCTATTCTGGTCACCCAAAGAGGAATCAAAAGAGCTATGCTTGGAGTATCAAGCTTCACTCAAGCGAGAGAAGAAATCTGGAGTTCCGACCTCCATCGACAATCAAAATTCAGGGACTCTGTATCGTTTGCCCGGGTATCAAAAATCAAATGAGCTGGACACGTAATGCGATTTGAAGACTACTGCTGGACTGGAGTTGCTACTGACTGGATTCCACGTGACATCTAAGGAACACGTGGCCACCCACCTACGAGATGGTCAGACTTCTTCATCAAGACCCTGAACAAATAGTTTGAGGCTCTTTGTGTTCCTGTAGCAAGCAGACGCCATTGGACTACACTAGCATATGACAGGGACAAATGAAGACATTACTGGTACCCATACAAGGAAATTAATGAGTAATGGGATATCAAGTGATCTAGTGATCAAGGTGGCAAAAATTTTAAACAGGTCAGAGGTTAGACCAAGAAAGAAGTTACCTCTAACCTCCCCCTTTCATGAGTTATGCGACAAAAGGAAACATTCTCTTCCTAATAAGTTATACCAGTACTGTTACTACTAAAATAAAGAAAACTGCCAAGTATTTCTACAAACTTAAACAAAATAGAAAACAGACACACAGAATGGCTGTCCCCTTGCTCTTTTTAAAAACATGGGTCATAATGAAATTGATTATATAACAGTTCCCCACGCAGAAAAAGATCATATTCATATATGATTTCATTCTCTATAATGATAATATCAAGAGTGAAGAAGAATCTGTTGTAAGCAGGATGCTCAGCTCCCAAGAAACTTTTTGCATTTATTTCTGATGCTCCAACACAGGGATACAACTAATTTAGTCTGATGAAAGATGATTCCAAGCTTCCTAACTTAACCCAGCAGACTTTTTTCAGGAAGGCGTCTTTGGACTGCAACCCATCTCAGCAAACAGGTGTAAATGTTTGAGACTGAGTATCTAAATAGCTCCTAGCTAAAACAAAACTGTGTTACACATGTTGAAGGAAAAAGACAATGATCAGTTATTCCCTGAACAATTGTTAGGTTACTAAGGATCAGTATTCTTTCAGCAAACAAAACAGGACTCTGGGTTCTAGGTA